AAACCCTAAACCCCTAAACCCTAAACCCCTAAACCCGCGTAGTCCTGTTGCGGTCTGGAATTGCTATACAAAATTGACAAGAGCAATGCGCAAACGGCGCAATGCTTGAGTTTGTAATTAACATTGTATGTCGCCTTGTTAAGCATCTTGGCGTACTTCTTGCTTGGATGGTCCGCAGACGTCTTGCATAAACCCCTAAACCCCTAAACCCTAAACCGACCGAACCCATGCAACTTGACAGGTCTTTATCCGAGCCCTCTGAACTACATGGGCTTCCCCAAGTCTGTTTGCGTCTCCGCCAACGAGGTGCGCGTTCCATTTTGAGGGGCAGGGGTCCTAATAATTAGAATAGGGTTTCGGGGGTATATTATACTTTAATTAAAGTACGGAAGCCCGCAAAACCCTAATCTAATTATTAAGGCCCCTACATTAGGTAACCCTTAAACTTCTGGAGCTTATATAACCCTACTAAGACTTGAAAGCTTAACCATTTTGGGGCTAGGGTACCCAGCCCCTAAGCAGCTTGTTTAGGGTTTGTTTTAGGGGGTTTAGGGTTTCGGGGGCCTTGAAGGCTTAGGGCTCCGGGAGTGTCGGGGGTAGTTTGTGGACTTAGGATTAAGATCTGGGCTTTACGGTCTAGAGTTTGGGGCCCGGGGCTTTGAGTATAGATTTCAGATCTCAGATGTCCTGCTTAATGTGGTCACATATGATGTGGCTGACCTTTCCTTGCATGCCAAATCCCGCCGTTCTTTCGACGGGTTCAGCAGCTAAGGGTTTGCCGTTTAGGCCAGATTAGGGAACTTGTGGCACTTGTACGTACTGTACATCAGCCAGTGATTACAATGAGTAGCACAGAGGCCTTCACAGTTGTAAGTCAACTCTTTGGGGCCTGGGTGGTGGTGTTGGGGTACTCGACAGCTCCGACATGCTCATAAGCAGAAAAGGCGCTTTGGCCTTAAAGGATCTTTCGGCGCAGGCTTGCGCGTGATTGGAGATCAGGGGGCCTTCAACACCAAGAGGGATAATAGGATTCAAGTTGTGATGTAAGGCCCTCTTTGATAGCTTTCATGTGTATGGGGCTGCATATGCCAGGAAAGGGTGAACTTGCTTCGGTCCAATAGGTCTACGACATTAGTCGGAAAAAGCGAACTGCTATAGTGCACTCGAAGCCTGGTATCGTCAACCTCATGCCAATAGTCACAACTGTGTCAGGTGATTTGCCACGGCATTCCGGACAGCCGTCCGCTGCAGGAGGGTGACATAGAGCTGCCGGCCTGTTTCGCGACTCCGATGCGCTCTTTCTCCTGCTTCGGCTGCTGCTGTTGCAGGTGGTGGCAGTGGTGGCGACGGGGGGGAAGCGGGGTGTGGCGGTAGCGGTGAGGATGATGAGGAGGATGAGGACGAGGACGAGGATGAGGACGATGAGAATGATGAGGACGAGGATGATGATGGTGTCGACGACGGTAGTGGTGCCAGTGCTGTTCTGGAGCCGGTGCCGGCGTTGGTGCTTGGAGTGGCTGTGCAGGGCAAATTATGTGCTTCATTGTTTTTCCCCTGCGGTGTTTTCGGAGTCTTACCCTGCAAGCATACAACATGCAGCTGGAACTGAAACCGAAACACTAAACATGCAACAGCAACAACAACAACATGAATCCCAGGCCCTGAGCCCCAACTTAAATCTAAACACTTGACCTGCGAAACCCCTTACCTCCAGGCCCCAAGGCCTAAACGCTACATCCTGACTCCTTCATCGCCAGGTCAATCTCGATGTGAGTGTCTGCCGTGGTCTCGGCATGTGAGCACTTGGGTTTGGGGATGTAGGATGTAGTAGTTAGGGTTCAGGGTGTGGGTGGACAGTTATGGGGGAGGGCCTTACATGATTCCATTAGTAGAAGGGCCCTATGGCCCCATAGGCGTTCGGCAACTCCTGGGGTCCAAGCTCTTATTACGTTTTTCTGGGTGTGTATTCTTGGCCCCCCATATTCCCAACTTTCCGTCTGCATCCAGGACTTCAGTTTCGCAGGAATCCTTCTTGAGAGCAGCCCATAAGCTCTAAACCCTAGGTCATAAGCCAATACAGGGCAGTAAGGCCGGAGTGGAATCTAGCTTACGAGCTCCACGCTTGCAGCTTTGACTGCCCAAAGTCCTACCTGAGCAATCCTTCAAAAACCTGGAAGAAGACCTGAGCCACTACATCCCCAATGACCCAGAGACTGCAAAGCCCCTTTATTCATCAGCATACCTAAACATGGAGAGTGATCTTGAATATGGTTTAAGGGCTCGGATATTCCTTGATTCAGGGGTTCTGGGGTCTCCAGTGACGGGCCTTAAGAGCATCATCATAAGCAACATGCATTCCGATAAGCTGCAAATCTGTCACTGTTGAAGCACGGCAGCCACCCGTCTTAGCCCTAAGTCATCCACCGCAAATCCTAGGCCCTACACCCTAAGCAGAAACCCTCCACCCTCAACCGTCACCCAAGGTCACGAGGGATTCCATGCTGACCTCAATGAGACGTACTTCATCGGGCAATGCGACGAGGAGCTGAGGCCTCAGAATCTTCACATGGACGGCTTTAGCAGAGTTTCTTGGCTTGTCGGAGTTCATGGTTTCGGATTTAGGAGTTTTTTGTTTTTTTGGGGCTTCTTAGGGTTTAGAAATTGGGTTTTCGGGCAGCTGTTGCTTTCAGAGATCTTCGTCGGATGTTTCCAACGGCTGGGTTCTGGAACTCTGCACAATCAGACCTCCGTTTATAATATATACTACACAGGACTCATTCCTTGCTCCTAAATGACTCGACCCCGGACATTAAGCCCATGTGAGTGAGCAGAGCAAGATATAAGACCGCATGCCGTGAACGCGAACTAGGGAACTTCAATCTCCCGGTCTTGCCAGGTGAAAACTAGGGCATTTTCAGGTGGGTAGTTACCGTTAGAGGAGCCTTATAGAAGGTCTATATACCTTATAGAAGCCTTATAGAAGCCCTATATACCCTAAACTCCCCACCTTTAATGAAACACTGATGAAGATTCCACGGCCGAATATCCAAAGTACTTTTCAATGCCCATCTTCATAGGTAGTCCCACCTAAGTTTATTGGTTGTCGTCTTCAACATTACAATCATCGGTCATGCTGAGGTTCGTCCTACACATTCTTGCTCCTCCTTGAGCTAGTGATCCTGCTCAGCAATCAGTGTCTGCACCAGCATCACAAAAGCATCTGTGCCATGATAACCCCAAACCCTGCTTGGAGCATCTTGGGACTTAGTAACTAACAAGGGTTGAGGATAAGGTAACTGCAGTTATAATGATTTGTAGCCCCAGTTAGAGTACTTCTGACATCTTATACCTTACTTACTAAGTCCCATGGTCTTCAGCATAAACCTTTAGCCTAAATCCTAAACCCCTAAGCCCTAAACCCAAAGCCCAGGTCCCATCACCTGGTTCGCAGCACTTACGATGCCCTGAAGGTCGTGGCCTCGGATGAAGTCGTGTTCTACAATGGATCTTTCCTGGCTTCAGGAGTTGGCACCGCTTCTGGAGTTTGGGGTTTATAGGGTTGAGCGGTTTAGGGTTGAGGGGTTTGAGGGTTTGGGGTTTATGTTTTAGGGTGACATACTGTTGCATTGAGTTGTGGGGCTCCAGATTTGACTGTAGTGCTCAGTAGAGGATCAGGGTTTCGGTTCTGCGACTTACCCCTTAGCCAGCCTCTCCTCAAACTCCAAGCCTTCAGCCCCAACTTATCCCTAAACCCTTACATCTCAAGGATAGCCTTTTCTATAGACTCCAAGCTTTCAGCTTTTAAGCAAGAGCCTCTTGAAGTGCCGAATAGGTGCTTCCTGATGGATCATCGGAGTTCCACCCTAAGCATAGGGGCCTGTGACCCGAAGGCCTAAACCATGCTGTCGAAGTCCATCGCACGCGAGACCCCCAGGCTCGAACTCCTAGTTGCGTCACCTTGTGTCAAAATACCACAGGCTTCATTAGTTCAAGTTCTTCAAGGCTGTCGCACCTGTAGAGACCTGGGTCTACTGTTTGTTTCCACATCTTCATGCCTCAACCCTTCACCTTAGACCCGAAAGCCTGGCCTTTCCCCTTCCCTTCGTTCCGAGGCATCGGTGGCATTGATTCGGCCCGGCCGGCACCTCGCAATCCGGTTCAAGGAGTTTAGTTAAGTTTAGAGCAAGTCTTAAGAGCCTAGCGAAAACTCTAAGCTCTATTACAGGTGCTTGGTTCCAGCGAACAGGGGACCCTACTCTGCCCAAACCCCAGATCAGGGTTTAAGGGTTTAGGGTTTAGGGTGTAGGGTTCTCCCTCTGCGGTCCTTGGCGAGTTGTCTTTGTCTTGCTGCTGCTTTCGGCTCGCATCACCAGACGACGCATCGAAGCCAAGCATGTTCCAGAAGGTTAAGACATGAGCGTTTCGTATCCAGGATTTAGAGCTCAGGATTTGCGGCTTTAGGGTTTAGATTCCTGAGAGCAATTATGCTCAAGTTCTGTTCAAGATCCGATCCAGAAGCCTTTCAGCGTAGTTGCTTAGGCTTTAGGGTTTAGGGTTCTCCATTATAAGTACGATTAAGCAATACAGCAGACCCTGTATTCTAGGTCCCATAAAGCTCCGTAGCATCGGCGCAGCTGCCAGTGGGCCAAGCGGCCTTCTTTCAGGACCCCAAACCGCACAGTTTGCGGCGCTGTAGCAGCCATATGAGGGTCCGGGAATGTCAGATTGCAAGAAAACATGCAACTAAAAGGTTTTGTATAATGTCTGGTATGTACAAGTAGCATTCATCATTTCGCATCGCATGTAGGGTTTACTCGCCCTGCTGCACGTCGTCCTGATCGTCGGAGTGACCATGGGTTCCGATGGACCCGTTAAGCCTTCCTGTCCCACCTCCTGAAGTTAGCGTCGTAGGGGCCAGACGGAAGCACCCCTGCGCGGTTTAGAACAATGGACCAAAAGTTTCACCCCCCACTCCACCCGAAGCAACCTCGCGCCGAAGGATGTTCAAGGGGTTCACGCCGTCGGATGTCTCCGGACAGAATCAGGCCCGGCTCAGTTAGGTATGTGGAGAAATCTGACTTTGGAGCCTAAACCCTATAGACCCTAAACCCCTAAACCCTAAAGCCAAAAGCCTTTGTTCTAAGCTCCAGGGTTCCATGATCATGTGCCTCGGGACCGTGACTTCAGAAAAGGTTCAGATAGCCATCGGAGAAGCCCCGCCTCCCACAATCCCCAAAGCCATGGGCCCTAGCGATTCTTCCGCAGACCCTTCAACTCCAATCCATCCCTTAAGCCCTTGATGCCCAGCCTCCTCACGGAGATCTGAACCTCAGCAGTCCTGAGACTGAAAGCGCACCAGAAACAAGTCCCCATGGTTTCGGTTTTGGGGTCTTTGGGGATGACTCAGGGGATTAGGGGGTTTCGGATTTCGGGTTGAGGTTTCGGAGTTGAACTATCTAGAAACCCTATAAAACTACAGTTGAAGGTTGAGATGATAGCATCCGGCATGTTTCGTGCATGTGGTGAACGGCATTCTTGCTTTGAGCGTCGTGGCCGACTGCGAAAAACTATATTCCAAGAAGACCTCCAGCAGACAACTTCGCAAGCAAAGATGTACATGGAAATCCCTGTCATAGGACGAGAGCTCCATCTTCTCAGCTTGTTGTTGCAATTACTTCGGGTTTCCTGCCCGTAGTGCATTGTCCCGTGCGGAAGCGACTTTGGCAAGAGTCACCGTTAAGGGCACAGGAAGCAGAGGTCGGAAGCATAGGTCGGAAGTATATAACCCTAAACCCTAAACCCTAAACCCTAAATGTGGCTTAATAGGGGTTTATGGATTGGAAGGGTCGGGTCGGCGGGGCTTAAGAGGACGCAGTGATCAATGCATGTCTAGGGATTGCAAGGGTCGGGCCGGTGAGGTTTAGGAGTGCAATATAGGGGCCTTAGTAAATTACCTATACTATTTTGGGTGTTCCTTATTATATTTATCGTATAATATCCCCCAAAACCCTGTTCTAATGATTAAGGCCCCTACAGTACAATGATCAGTCCTTGACCCTAAGCCATCAGCATGCAGGTGAAGAGCTCCGTCCAGCGCGGGATCAAGACGAAGATCCAGGAGAAGTCTCCAGGGTTTGCTGCTAAGGGGCGCTCACGCAAATTAAGTCGCCATTACACCCAAGTCCTATTGAACCAGCAAAATTCTAGAACGTCATGCAGCCCCACCAAGCATATCCCACCTACTCCGAAGCATATAAGCACAAAGCCGTTCCTGCTACATCGGGGAAGGAGACCTACCCGCGCCTCGAACCTGTGGCTTGGGATGCAGTTTCTGAGGGCGTTCCGGTTGTTTCGGGTGAAGCCCAAGTACGGTTCATGCCCGCTCGTCCTTATGAGGAAGAGGGCATGGGCTCCGAGAACCTCCCCGAGATTCTGACTTGGCAAAATATCCTGGGTCTTTGACCTGAGTGGGTGCACCATTTGTGACGTTGGAGCTCTCGAAAACTTGAGATGCCTGCAGCTTCAATGCTGACTTGTGCCTAGTGCTACCAGTAAGGTCTGATATGTGCAGTCCTTGGGGTGCTGACTTCCCTAAGAGAATTATGCCTGCTTGCTGTTTGGGGCTCGGGGCTTGGTAGTCGATCCCAACCTCGGCTGGCTCATGGGTCACTCTGCACGCTTTAGATCCCCATCGGACGGATTCATCGCGGCTTAAAGCTTCTACCCCGCAGGTTCTGGATTTGGGAACTGCCCTCCTGAGCTCCTCTGTAAACCATTTGGGCGGTTCTAGGGTTAGCGGCCTCAGGCTTCTGGAAACGCTGAAAGCTCAGATGTTTCAGAAAACCAGGGGTTCCTTGTTTGAGGGTCCCCGTAGTAGGATGCCGGTATTTTCAGATTTTTTATTGGGGTTCTATATTTCTGAAACCCCTGTATCTCAGGTCTTTAAGGAGATTTGGCCGAAGGATGCCAACATGGTCATCGCCGTTGGGCCGCAGCAAGGAAGGTTGGAATGAACAGGCAGAGTTCAAACACGATCGGTTATACAGTCGACTTTAGCAACAAGTATGGTAAGAATGTGTAAGCATTGTTGCCAGCACAATGAATGTACACTAAAACCCGCGGACCAGACAGCATGGATCTTGGGAACGACCATTCTAGCCGAACCTCGAATCCGAAACTTAAAGCAAACCCAAAGCTTGAACCCCAAGTCCTGAGCCCCGCGGCACCCCAACAGATTGAGCCGTCAGGCCTCAAAACCAACTTCCAACCCAACTACGAACCAGCAAATCCATTCGATTTAGGGTTTAGGCACGGGGCGGCTCCTCACTTCGATTTCTTGTCTTGTACTACATACATGTGTATATATATATATATATATTCATATATATATATATATTTATATTTATTTATTTATATTTAGTTTATACTTATAATTATACATCTTATATATGTGTTATAGTACTACTCTCAATACCCTGCAGCAAATGACGTCCTCAGACTCCTCAGAGCCCCGAGTCCCAAAGCTGCCACATCTGGAGCAGACGAGGCAAAGTGTAAGGATCACATCTCCCTCGTTGTCATCGAGAAGGCCCGTGATCGCGAGTTCTTGAGGGCTTGGAGAGCTTCATGCTTGGGGTTATCAGATTTGGAATTTCGGCTCAGGGAGCAGGAAGTGGCTAGAGTGCTGAAGCTTTGTAGGTCCGTCCGTGTGGGTTTGTAGCTTCTGTAAGATCTGGGCAGTTTCATGCTTTTGCCTTTGGAGTCTTGGGCGCCTGGAGCCGGAGCTCTAAATCTAAGACCTACACCTTCAACCCTTTCGCATTTGATCGCAAAGGCCGATCCTCGCACAGCTACTGCACAGTTCATTATCCATCAACCCGGTTGTCGACGGTGTTTCGGCAACTTACCATATGGGGGTTTCTGAAAGTAGGGGACCCTAATATCGTACCCTTCATAGTAGGATCCTTATTATGAGGCCCCCCCAAAAAGGTACCCCGTATTTTCGGCAACTTACCATATCTTCCACATTGCCGACGTAGTCAAGCTACCCACGGCTCCTGGTGTCAACCAGCTCCCGGGGAATAACATCGAGCCCAAGACTGTCTGAAGAAAGCTCCCTAAACCCTATCCTATAGGGTCCAAGTACCCATTATTTAAGGACTTTGGGGCCTTTTGGGGTACCTAAAACCATAAATAAAGACTATAACTTGGACCCTTAGGGTATAACCCTAAGGGATGGTTCGAAATCCATGTTTCGCTTGGTTTGGGCGTGGAGGCCCCTTGAAATAAACTGTCCTGCTAATCATGCCGTCCCCAAGTACTGTACTGACCCAAAGTACGCTTCGGATCCTTTTGGGGGAGTGTGTGTGGCAGATGCGCGAACAGAGTCAGTCGTCCTACTAATGGCCATGCACACAGTGATGACAGTCTCAACGATGTTGCACAGGATCATGTACAGTGTTTCAAGAACCCCTGCTTGTGCCCAGGCAACCCGTGACGGAGAGCAAGTAGCCATAGTCCCGCCACACTGACCTTTCCCGAATCCTGTCCACCCTCAACCCTCGGCCCTGAACTGCCCCAAGACAGCCCATCAAGCCTACACCCAAAAGGCTGGAAACCCAAGACTTTCAGACCCCAAAAAAGCCCTAAGCCCCAAAGATCCCAAAACTCCGAACCTCGAAGACTCGATGGAAAAACTACAGCCGGAGGTGCCCCTCTTTTGGAGCGAGCGAGATGGACCTTGGCTGCCCACTCTGCGGCTGCTGCACAAATATCCGTCGCGTGGACGAACTCAGGGCCTCGGTCGAGCTCCTGCTCAATATAGGGGCCTTAATGATTCGAATAGGGTTTTGGGGGTATATTCTACTGTAAGTATAGTAAGGAGCCCCCCAAAAAACCCTATTCTAACTATGAAGGCCCCTACATTAGAGCTTTCAGTGCGGAAACCTCAAGCACAAAAAGAGCCCGTGCACTCATAATCCAAACTTCAGTATGGTGGACAACAAAACATTTGCCGTAAATTGGGGATAAGCGCTCAGGACCATGTATTCGTTGGCATTTTCTGACCGAGGTCGATGATGCCCAAAATGCAGGTGGACAAGGGTGTCGCCTGGCCTCTATGCTTGGAGCATTGGTAGGATTATCCTTCTATCGCAATACTACTTATGTTTCCCCCAAGATAGGACGCATTTTTGAGGACAGGTTTCGAAGTTCATCCTTAGTAGAGCTGTCCGGGAGAATAACAGGCCCCCTTCCACAAAGTTCCTCTTGTGAGCTTGTTCGAGATCAAACCGATCAACACGAACTCACCCACTCATGTTTGCAGTACGCCCCTTATGGCAAATAATCTGCGAACTACCTGGGCCCTGTATAGCATTTTCCGACGCGAGGCGTCCGCTGTTTTACAACTTGCATAAGGTTCTGTAGATCGAGGTTTCAGGTCCCCATCCTCCCTGAAACTCCCTAGATGGTAGATCATCCGCCTGTTCGAAGGAGGAAGACCCTTAAACCTAAACCCAAGCCTCAAAAGCATCCTTTCACACCACCCTCATGGAGCCATTGCTTGCCAAGCCCTACTTGCGGGATCAGGGGACTCAGTATGTAGAAACAATTTTAAGAGGACGGTTCCAACTAGGAGGCAGGCAGTCTAGATTACGGGTTGAATTGGGGATCAGGGACTTTCTTTCGGAAGTTTTACCAAACAGGATTAACGAATAGGATAGCTCCAACTGCCAGCAACGAGGTCCCTGATCCTTCAAGTTTAGACCCCGAAGCAGCAAACCCCTGGTGCGGTCAACCTAATATAGGGACCAATGATTCGAATAGGGTTTAGGGGCCCAGTATAGTATAATCTTAATAAGGAGCCCCCCAAAATGGTATTGGTAATTATTTAGGGTGTAGGGTTCCTTGTTGTCATTGCAGTATAAAGCACCCCCAAACCCTGTTCTAATTATTAAGGCCCTGTCCCCATATTACCTCGGACGCTGCCGGGTCTCTTGCTGGACGCCACTGTTTGTTGCCTTCTCTCCTTCCCTCCCCCCCTTTTTCCAAGCATCTTGTTCGGTTTTAGGGTTCCGGGTTTAGGGTGTAGGGTACTTCATTGCAATCGACTGCGACCTCACAACCTTTCCGCCCGGGTTCCTCTCGCCTTGTTCTGGTCTTCTGCGTAGTGCCTGTCCATGCCTGTCCCCAGCCCGCAGTTCTTTCTCCCTTCCACGCTTTTCACCCTCCCCGAGTGCCGAGCGCCCATGGTTCGCCTTAATGTCAGCCTCGTATACTCCAGTCGTTTATTTCTTCCGCGTTCCTCCCTCTCCCTTCTGCGGACCCTCGGTACAAGCCTCCTCCGTCGCAAGTTCCGTTCTCTGCGCTCTTTGTTCCCTCGAGCTCCTCCGGTGCTCCCGTGTACAGCAAGGTGATGGACGATTTTGGCTCGTGGTGGAGCACAGCCAGCCCATCGCATTCTGGTGCCTCACCCCCTGAGCCCGCTTTCACGCTCTCCTGCTTCGTTTTTTGTTCATCCGTTGTAAGGCTGTGCATTCTCTTCTCCTTTCAACTCCTTTGAGAAGTGATGGGCGATGGTTGAGCCGGCCCACATCGCCATTGTTCTTGCTCCTGTTTTCCTTTCTCCGCACTCTTTGTCTCTTCGCGGCCCCACCAGAATGTTCTTCAGGGTGTTGGGCGACGGGCCTCACCTTGTCGAGCCGGCCCTCTCCCCCGTTTAGTTTTGTCCGTAGCTGTTATTTTGGGTTGTTTGAGTTTGTGCTTCTCCTTGTGCAACTATCGGTGGCTGCTTTTGATCTTTGCACATTTCGCCTCCTCACCTTCCCTTTTCCATGTTACGTTCGTCGGGGCGTGGTGTAAGTTCCCAGTTCTCGTTCTCGTCCCACTTACTCTACTCCGCACGCTCGTCTTGCCCCCCAGTTCTAGGACATTTTCAGGTGGGTAGTTACCGGTACCGTTATAGGAGCCTTATGGAAGGTCTATATACCTTATGGAAGCCTTATAGAAGCCTTATATGCCCTAAACTCCCCACCTGTAGTTTCCTTTAACCAGTCCGGCCCGGGTTTTCTTGATTCTCCATCCTCTCGTTCGGATTGAAAAATCAGCTGGCTCACTCCCACTTGCTGGGTTTAGGGTTTAGGGTTTAGGGTTTAGGCGGCCGTGCGCCGTTTTGGGGGGCAAGAATTTCGTGCCTGTTGTGCTTCAGCACATAGACTCGTTGTGGATCCGCGGTGCTCTCACCGCTACTACACCAAGCAGTCGAAGGGTTCTTTGGAGTTTTGGCCTCTTTCCCTCTGCCCGGCTTCATTTTGTTGCTCGGATTCGCTGGCTCCCTTCCGCTTCGCCGGGTCACGTCAGCAAACCCCACGAGTATCGAGATACTCAGGATTGTCTCTCCCTCGACCGGATGGGCCTTTCAGCTTTAAGTCCTTTTGATTGATCTTATCGCTTTCGAGAGTCAGCCCAAGCACAATTCCGATCACTCATCCTCCACCGGGCATCTGAAAAAAAACAATCCCCCGTCGCTAGACTATGTACACCCTGGCAGTCCTTTTGCCTTGACTTAAGTTGAAACGGTCTTAGAAGCCAAGCCCTGCAACTACCGCTCTAAACGCTGATGCACTAAACCTCATAGTCCTAAAAGCCCTGCCCCCCTGCTCAGGCCATCAAATTCGTCCTCCGTGGTGCCTCGATCATGTGCCCAGGGCTCACCAGCCCGGGTGGTGAGATGGAGGTGCGAGGGTCCGGCAGTAATTCAAAACGATTTAAGCGGTTAGGATGTGATCCCCACGTTCCTACTCATGATCTGATGACGCATGTTAGGCAAAGAGATGTTCCAAAGTCAGGTTTCCTCGCAGATCCCTGAAAAAGAAGATCACCATTGTTCCCCTCAGGGTCCATGTGCACAAAAAGTATTTACTCTTGACGCTAAAATACCTATATAGCAACGCTTTCAAGGCCGTTCGTTTGCCCGATTGGTCACCAGCACGAGCGCCAAGCTTGCCTTGAGCAGCATCGACAAAGCCGTAAGACAGCAGAAAGCCTGGTACATTCGAAGTCTTGGCAGCACGGCAATACCTGCCAGCAATGAGTTCAAGCCTGACAAAAACCACGCAGATTGTAGAGCTAGACGATAATTGACCTGGGACTGTTCCCAAACTCGAATTTCCTCTAAACTGCCTAAACCTTGTGGGTATGTTTCGCAGGATGTCGAAGAAGGGGCCTGCGTACAGGCTGCGGGCGCATCGGGGCTTCGGTTGTTGTTTGCACGGAATCGGTTGTTTGGGTTTGTGGATAAGCTGGTATGTGAGTTTCCTTGTTGTTTTCCGGCTGAAGGCCTCGTTGAAGTCTATTCCGTGGCCGTCGTATGTGCTTGCTTGAAGGCAGTTGCTGACAGGCTTCGGGTTGTGTTCAGTCCGGTCTACCTATAGGGGCATACCGTCGTGCCTGCCCCGTTTTTGTAGGGTACCTACTTTTCTGTATAACAGACTTTTCTGTGAACAGACCCTAGCCAGAAGAACTAGGTACTCGAGAACACGGGGGCCGAGTATGACGTTTCAGGTAGGGTGCAAGTTTTTTGCGACAACATCTTTCAGAGACTGGTGGACAGAATCCTGCAATGCCTTGAGGACAGGGAGCTATGGGAACTTATGGCACTTGCAGCCTTAAGGCTGATGTAAGCTCCTCGAATTCTGGGTAAGGCCTGATTCTGTGCATAAGCAGTATGGTTCCTGGTAAGTATAGTCAGCAGTTGAGCAAAGGGTGGGCGTCGCGCATGGGGGCCTGTGGACTTTATGTTCTGATGTTCGTCACATTCAGAGAGGATTCGGGTCTGCTCATCCAAGTCTGTTTAGGGCTTAGAAGCTGTAAGGCACAGAGCTTACTGTTGGTGAAAACTCTTCTCCAAACTGGTCTTGGTAGCAGGAAAGCCGACTTCAGAACAAGCCCAAACCCTAAACCTCCGTATTGCAAGCCTTTCCTGTCCCATCCCCTCGGGTTGTGCCCAGATCACTGCAGAGGGCACTGTGCCACTCGGCCCCTCTTTCGGGTTTAGGGTTCAGGGCTTAATTAGGGTTTGGGGCTCAGGGTTTAGGGAAGCCCCGAGGCCCAAGATGCCGAAAGCCGGAACTCAGGAACCTACAGCCTTGAATCCACGCAACTCCTCATGAAAGCCTGAGTCCGGAACCGCAAATGCGTGCCGAGGAATTTATATACATGTAGCAACGTGTTGTGTTGGGTCGAAACTTGTGTGTGTGATGCTGGGAGAGCTATAGGGGGGTATGTGGGAAAATGGGACGTAAGCTGAGGACGACTCTGGGAGGATCAACCCTACCCACTTGTAGGAAAGTTGGGGCTTTCGGCGATGTTCGGGTGGCGTGTTGCCAGGTGCCTAAAATTTGCCTAGCTGCTGCTCATGATGCGATGCTAGATATTATGGCACTCACGAAGGCCTACGCTGATGCGGACCTGATGCTGATGATGCTAAACGGTAAAACCCTAAACCCTAAACCTAGATGCTGAGACCGGAAGCCGCTAACACCGAACCACAGTACCGACCACAAATCCTCAAGACCACGCAGAAAAGTCGTACATCAAAGGCATGCCTGTGCCGTCGGCATCACCACCATGTCCACAGAAGGCATCCGCAAGATCAACAAAGGCACCGGCGTAGCTTTCAGCTTACTTTTCAGGCTTTGTGAATGGTTTGTTGTGGTGTCATCCGGGGCTCAGGGCTTACGCAGTTGCTCTTGCGGTCAGCCCGGGGCCGGTCATGTTTTGGAGGTTGTCCAGGCGAGCTTTGTTTGGCAGCCCGGTTGTTTTGCAACCTCCATGCTCAGTCTACGGATGTTTAGAGTTTAGGGTTTAGGGTTTAGGGTTTACAGGTCATGAACTCAAACAAACCCCCAACTTCTTTCCGAGTTTGCTGTTTCCGTCCGGCTTGCTCAGCTATAGTTGTTGGGTTTCAAGATTTAGTTCCGGTTTGCAGCTTGCAGCGTATAGCCTAGTACCTTTCTCAAACCTCAGAATTCCCTCTCTCGGTTTTCTCGAAAAGGATGCCCTAAAAACACTAACCCTCAAACCCTGAAGCATAGACCATAAACTT